GCCGCCGCCGCTGCTGCTGCTGCTGCTGCTGCTGCTGCTGCTGCTGCTGCTGCTGCTGCTGCTGCTGCTGCTGCTTCTACTGGCAGAGGTGGGGGTGCTGCTGGAGTTGCTATCAGCAACCAACGGCGGGGGAGAGTTGCCGGACTGGATGCCGATAAGGGGTGGTTGGGCACAAGGGTCTGGTTATGGCTGTCCTTGTTAGTTGCCACGGCAAACCAGTGGAACGGCAGGGTGTGCTTGCTTGAGTAACACCTGCTGAGCTGGCGACAGGCCAGAAACAGGCCACTTCTCGCTAACGAGTGGGGCAAAATGCCCCAAGCTCCACGTAAGTGCTTGGGCGGTGTCAATGGGAGCAAAGCCTGCTGAAAGTGGATGCGGCAATCTTCCCTCATGTTCAATAGCGGCAATGATGGGTGCGGCAACCAAAGGTCGTGGTGTCAGATGGCGGCCCAGGGGCCAGGCGCCCGGAATGCGTGGGCCACGCAGTCTGCCGGCGGCTGACATAGCAAAGCGTAACAGAACTTTTGCGTTGTTGGTCGCAGCGACTAACACAATGTTTGGAAATTTGCACCATCTATATGTGGCATTGTGAGTACAATATTCGTGACAATTCGCATGCAGCCACCTGGCCGGCTCTAGCTGGGTTCAGCACCATCACGCATTTATCCAACACGCAAACAAACGCATGTCCACACGCGGGCTGGACCTGTTGCCTATTCCAATGGGACTGAAGCTTCAAGGTGTCAAAAAACCCCTGGAAGTCCGAGCGCTTGGGCACCAGTCATCTGGGATGAGTACCGCAGCACCGACCCGGCGTTGGCCCCTGCCATCTGCCACAGACACCGCTTCGGCCAACGTGTTCATCACATTGCATGTACGTAGAAATGTGAGATGTGAGTTGTGATACAAAAGTCCACCCAAATCAACTAGCCGTCAATGGCCAAGCCTGCATCAAAGCGCAAGCAAGCTCACAGGCGGGGGCAGGGCGGGAGTTGCTGACAACGTCCAGCACCCGTCACTGCTCTACTGCACGCTCTGCTGCCGCGCCAGGCACGGCGTCCAAGCAATTGCTCAAGTATAGCCAGTCGCACTGCTTTTGAATTCAACCACATTGTGGACTCCAGCGAACGAACGATCTGGCAGCGATCAAGGCAGGAGGATCCGCCAGGGCAGCGCGGCATCTATGGCGGAGAGCATGGATGTTGAGGACGCGGCTGCTGGCGGGCCCAGCAGGCCGCAGTCCTCACCGATGTATAACTACGTGGTCACCGCGCAGCAGCCCACGGCCGTGACACAAGCTGTAGTGGGACATTTCACTGGCCCAGGGGATGTCAACCTCATACTGGGGTGAGCGGGCGACACGGGGAGGGGGGTTCTCCGCTTTTTGCGCGCATCGCTGCCTCTGCCTCCTCGCCCGCGCTTCACGCAGCGGGCACACGCATCGCCTGCTCCCGCAGCAAGTCCACGCACATAGAGATCATCACGCTGACGCCAGAGGGCCTTCAGGTGTGGCTTGTTTATCGTGCGCATGCTCAGCACGGCGAGAAGAGCAAGCTGGTGCCTGTGGCTGTTGTGCAGCACCAGCAGGCTAGTGCTGGCGATGCGGCTCATGCACAAGAAGCGTCAAGCTGCGGCATTTAGTTTAGAGCGAAGGACTGCACCGCATTGCCGCTGCTTGTCCCATAATTGCGACTCAAAGTCATCATCGTGGTCACATGGACGCGCGCCCTGCTCGTTCTCGCCACCGGCCGCCCCTGCCCCCCCAGAACACGCTGGACGTCCCGGTGTACGGCCGCATCTCAGCGCTGCGCCTGTTTAAGCCACAGGTGAGCGCCAGCCACCCAGCAGCGCAGGCCGCAGGGCGGGGCTGTCGATGCGGTTTGGGGGCGGCTTGCGCGTTGTATCCTGGTGTGGCAGCAACCCTGGAGCAGCGCAGCTTGGGCATGAGGGCAACGCACACCGACCTCCCCCCATCACCCTACGTTTCCGACAGGGTGCATCCCGGGAGCTGCTGTTCGTCTTGACGGAGCACTACCGCTTCTTCGTGCTGCAGTTTGACCCCGCCACAGGTGGGTGCGAAAGCAATGCGGGGCAGGCCTTTCGGTTTAGCGTGTCGTGCATGCACGGGGCCTTTAGGGCGCACCGCTGCATGGGCTGCACGTGCATGTCTGGGTACGGCTTGGACATGCTGCAGTTGCCGGTCGTTTCAGACGGGCCACAGCTAGTGCCTCAGAGTGTCTGATGTGTCCGGTGGAAGATTCTTGTCCATTTGCTGCAATCACGGTTCCCCCCCGGCTCTTTTGCATCGCAAGTGTGACGCCACGGCCTCATGCCCCAACCCCTCCTCCTGCTCACACACTCAATGCGCTCCCTTCCCCAGGCGCCCCCGTGACCCGCGCGTCTGGCAACGCGAGCGACACCATTGGCCGCCCCGTTGACAACGGCCAGCTGGGCATCTTGGACCCCGAGTGCCGCGCCATCGGGCTGCACCTCTACGACGGCCTGCTCAAGGTGATACCCGTGGACGACCGCGGCGGGCTGGGGGCCGAGATGTTCAACTGCCGCCTGGAGGAGCTGTGCGTGATCGACATGGCCTTCCTGGCGGGCTGTCCTGTGCCCACTGTGGCGGTGCTATACGAGGACGCGAAGCACGCGCGGCACGTTAAGACCTACGCCATCAGCATGCGCGGCAAGGTGGGGCCGGGCAGGGCGGGCAGGGGGCGCAACGGAGGGGCCGGGCAAATGGCCGGGTTGCCAGCTGCACTGTGTTTAGGGGGTGTCTCGTGTCGGGCAGGTAGAGTAGGGATACTGCGGTACTGCGGCGTTACCCGTCGGGGCTCGCCTCCGCTCTCAGCGCGGCTGCCAGCGTCTGCGTTCCCCTCTTTGACCCCCAGGCTGTGCCCGTCTCACCCGCCTCCCCCCCGAACCCACCAGGACCTGGAGGAGGGCCCCCTCGCGCACCAGAATCTGGATGCTGGGGCCGGCATGATCATCCCCGTGCCCGCACCCCTGGGGGGCGCCATAGTGGTCGGGGAGAGCGTCGTCACCTACTTCAGCACCAGCGCCCCCCAGTACCAGCGCAGCGCGGCGTTGAGGCAGACCATCGTGCGGGTGCGCCGCAGACGCTGTAGTGCTCGGTCCACAATTTGTTGGGGGCCAGAAGGGTTGGTTGCAGTCCAGCAGTGGCATCAGGCCATCGGGTGCACAGCACATCTGAGGTCGACGACCGTTCGTGCCTTCCTCGCTGTCTTCAACGACGAGCGGCTTGCCCCGCCACGCCCCTCATCCCGCTGTCCCCCACCGATTTGCTGGCCGTCACCCTCACATTGCTGCACTCTGCTGCCCAACCCCCTCACCCCACGTCCCCCCAGGCCTACTGCCAGATCGACGACGACGGCAGCCGGTACCTGCTGGGCGATTACCTGGGGGGGCTGCACCTGCTGGTGCTGGCCTGTGTGGACGGCAGCGTGGTGGGCCTCAAGCTGCAGCACCTGGGGACAACCAGCGCCGCCAACGCGCTCTGCTACCTCGACAACGGCGTGGCGTTCGTGGGCAGCAGGTCGGGGGACCACCAGCTCATACGGCTGCACAGCCAACCCGTCAACGGCGGGGCAGCGGCGGCGGGGGGCGGGGGCGGCAGCAGCGGCACAGGCGCGGCAGAGGCGGGCGGCGGCGAGGACGCGGCAGCGGCGGCGGGCGGCGGCGTCGCCGTGGGGCCAGGGCCGTCGTCGTTGGCGGCCGGTGGCGGCGCGGCAGCGGCGCCTGCTGGTGGCAGTGGAGACGAGCGTGACGGTGGCGCCGGCCCCTGCTATGTTGAGGTGCTGGACTCTTTCACCAGCCTGGCGCCCATCCTGGACTTTGCGGTGCAGGACATGGACCGCGCAGGGCAGGGGCAGCTGGTGATGTGTTGCGGCACACTGCGAGACGGCTCCCTGCGTGCTGTGCGCAACGGCATTGGCCTTAACGAGCTCAACTGCGTGGAGCTGGCGGGCATCCGCGGCGTGTGGGCGCTGCGGCCGGGGTGGCGCGACGCATATGACAGGTTGCTGGTGATGGCATTTGTTGGGGAGACGCGGGTGAGTCGAGCAAGGGGAAGGGGGGCCCCCATTCCTGCACCCGACCCAGTGGGGGTGCTTGCATGGCTGCACGGCTGGCAGGTTTATCCGTATCGGCTTCTAAACTATGCAGTTGTGGAAGGCTGCTCTCCAGGAGGGCTGCAATGCTAACAGGACCCCAGGCGCTGCCATTGGCACTGGCCAGCAATTGCACGCCCTCACAAATTGCCCGTCCCGCTTGGCACATCCACAGCTGCTGGCCATTGACGAGGATGATGAGCTGGGGGAGGTGGAGCTGGCCGGGTTTGACAGCGGGCGGCAGACACTGCTGTGTAGCAATACGCTGCACGACACACTGCTGCAGGTGCCCCGACCTGGCTGGGCGGGCTGCTGGGGGGGGGGGCGCAGAGGTTGGGCGTTGTTTTGTGGTTTCGCCACACGTGATCACGAGGCGCACGACAAAGTGTCTGCCGACGCCCCCTCATGCAACACCGGCTAGGATTCCTTTTTCTAGCTTTGAAGCCCTGCCATGGTCTGACGCGTGCTCTGTCCACAACCCAACACTCCAACACTCACACTGCCAGGTCACGGGTGCTGCTGTGCGGCTGATTGAATCCAGCGGTGCGCGCTGCATTGCCGAGTGGTCGCCCCCGGAGGGTCGCACCATAAACCTGGCGGCTTCCAGCCCGAGCCAGGTGCTGCTGTCTACTGGCGGGGGCGCCCTCACCTACCTCGAGGTTCAGGAGGGGGGCCTGGTGGTGCGCGGCACTGCAACGCTGGCGGCGGAGGTTGCATGCCTCGACATCACACCCACAACAGGTTGGGGTCCCCAGTGGACGTGTTGGTGGGAGCAGCAGTTGATGACTGGGGGCGCGTGCAAGATGTAATGTGTGAGATGCCTGATGCGGGGCCTTGAAAACGCTGTCATTAGTTTGTGGGTGCGTTTGCATCGTCACAGGCCTCACGGTCAGCAGTGTTTGCAACATCGGTAGACAACTACTGACACGAGCTTTCCCATTGGCGCGGTCCCTTGTGCAGGCGGGTCTAGGGAGGCGTCGCAGCTTGCCGCGGTGGGCAGCTGGTCCATGGAGGTGCAGCTGCTGCGACTGCCAGACCTGGCGCCCGTGGCTACGCAGCCGCTGGGGTCTGAGCAGGTCATCCCTCGCAGCGTGCTGCTGGCCGGCTTTGAGGGCTCCCATCACCACCTGCTGGTGGGCCTGGGGGACGGCACGCTGCACAGCTGGAGGCTGGACCCCGCGGCAGGACGCCTCAGCGGTAGGTCATGTGTCAGAGCGCACAGCTGCCTGGACCTGCGTGCCCGCGCTGTTGAGCCCCTTGCACCTGTGCTCCTCCCATGCGCACCTGCGGCCTCACCCCGAAGCACCCTGCCTGCATGTCCCTGGCACGCCACAGTGCCAGCGTTCCTGTCATCACCTTGAGAGCCTTGAGAGCCCTGACATGTGTCACCCTTCCACCCGATTTCTCCTGCCCTCAACAGACAAAAAGCAGATTCAGCTGGGCACCAAGCCCATCCAGCTGCGCACTTTTGCCAGCGGGGGTGTCAACTACGTGTTTGCCGCCTGCGACCGCCCCACCATCATATACAGCCAGAACAGGAAGCTCATATACTCAAACCTCAACGAGAACGAGGTGGGCGGGTGGCGGCGGGCGAGACGGGAGGGGGTCGGTACGCGCTGGACGAGCAACGGCTGCTGCCAACGCCAGTCCCAGCTCCCTCACCCCATCATCTTTTCCCTGTTCCCCCCTGCCCCCATGCTCACTCTGCACCCCTCCCCCCTCCCCGCCCCCCAGGTGAACTTCATGGCGCCCTTCAACAGCGCATCGTTCCCTGACAGCCTCGCCATAGCCAAGGAGGACTCCCTCACCCTGGGCACCATTGACGCCATCCAGAAGCTGCACATACGCAGCGTGGCGCTCGGGGAGCAACCGCGGCGCCTTGCGCTGCAGGACGCGACGCGCACCCTGGCAGTTGCAACGGCCGGGCTGCTGGGCGGCATGGGTGGGTGCTGGGCCATCGCAGCAAAGGAGTTGTTCCTACTTGCCTAGCCAGCAGCGTCCGCTCGGCTTCATCTCTCGTGTCACCAAGCAGGCGCTCAACATGCAGGCGCTCCTGATTGCTTGCCGCTGGTTCCCATCACCCCCTCGCTCCCCCCTCGCTCCCTGCCCCTCCCCTCAGCACCCTCTGGTGCGGCTGCGGACCGTGGGCAGCTGCTGGTGTTTGACGACGCCACGTTTGACCGCGTGGCCTCCTACCCTCTGGCGGCCCAGGAGCTGCCCTGCTCGCTGTGCAGTGTCGTGTTTGCGGGGGACGACACACCCTACTACGCACTGGGCACGGCGGTGGTCAAGCCTGAGGAGTACGAGCCGTCAAAGGGGCGCATTGTGTTGCTGGCATACAGGTGAGAGGAAGCCCGTCGTGCGAGGTGGTGCCATGTTTGCCATGCATTGGGCTGGGTTCAGTGGCGCATCGGGTGCTTGGAGTGCGTCTGCCCGTGCAGCTGGTCGATTGTGAGGGTTGCATGCTGGCAACCCCCTGATTGATCGACCTTCCAACCTCTTTGCAGGGGAGGCGGCAAGCTGGAGGCCGTCGAGTCGAAAGAGGTCAAGGGGGCGGTGTACGCGATGCAGCCGTTCCAGGGCAAGCTGCTGGCCTCTGTCAATTCCAAAGTGCACGTGTTCAAATGGGTGCCGGCAGGTGGCAGCGGCGCTGCGGAGCTGGTCAGTGAGACCAGCACCCCGGTGCAGGTGCTGTCGCTCTACCTGGCAGCACGGTGAGGGCCCAAGGCATGCCACGGGGTTGTTTCGTGCGCGCGCGCCTGCGTGAGTGTGTGTGTGTGTGTTGAAGGGGACGGGGGGGGGGAGACCTGCAGGTCGCAGCCTGGCTACTAGTAGGTGGCATCGTAAGTCCTCAAACAGCACCAGGCTTGCAGTCGCTCTCAGCTAGTTGCCGCCCCACCTTCACTCCACCCTCCTCTTGGCAGCTGCCGCCCCCAACTCTCTCATCACTCCCTCCTTCCCCTGTCTTTCACCCCTTCCGCCAGGGGTGACTTCATCCTGGTGGGGGACCTGATGAAGAGCCTCACCCTGCTCATGTACAAGGCGGCAGAGGGCAGCTTGGAGGTGCGGGCGCGCGACCTGGACAGCAAGTGGCTCACGGCCCTGGCTGCGCTGGACGACGACACGTACGCCCTGGCGGACAACAGCCACAACCTGGTGCGGTGGGGTTGTGGGTTGGGGTTTGGGTTGAGAGGAGGAGTGGGGCGCGCTGGGACCGGCTTGACAACAAGGGTCGGCAGTGGTGCGCGCCAGCCTTGAGCGGCTGGGGTCAATGATCAGCGGGGTGTTGATGGTGAGTTCGAAGCGTGCCTCTGCTCTCCTTCCTCCCCCTTGTGCACAATCTGGTCAGGTGGTGCTGCGCAACAATTCCGACGCGGCAACGGACGAGGAGCGGGCGCGGCTGCAGGCCGTGGGCTGCGTCCACCTAGGCCAGTTTGTCAACGCCATGCGCCACGGTAGCCTGGTCATGCGGCTCCCCGACAGCGAGCTGGCCTCAATACCTACACTCCTGTTTGGCGGCGTGGAGGGCGCCATCGGCGTGATGGCCTCCCTGCCGCAGGACCTGTACGCCCTGCTGGAGAGGCTGCAGGCTGCGCTGGAGAGGGTGCGGGGTGGGGGTTGGGTGGGCGCAGGTTGATGGGCGAGAGTTGGGGATGAGGAGCGGTGGAGAGGAGAGGGTCTCGTTGAGGGAGCTCAGATGAGCGGGCCGCAGGGCATGGTGTCAGGGACACACTAGGACGATTTCCACCCAAATCTATCCAATCTTTCTCCTCGTCTCTCTCCCCTCGCCCTGCCGCCCACACAGGTGGTGCCGGGCGTTGGCGGGCTGGATCACGCCACGTGGCGTGCGTTCCGGGACGAGCGGCGCTCCGAGGCATGCCGCGCGTTCATCGATGGCGACCTGGTAGAGTCCTTCCTTGACCTTTCGCCTGAGCTGGCGGCGCAGGCTGTTGAGCTCATGGGCCCGGGGCACAGCGTGGAGGACATCACGCGCCGCGTGGAGGAGCTGCAGCGCCTGCACTGAAGGGGTCTTAGATGGTGCTTTTTGTTCCACTGTTGACTCGTGTATTCTCGCTGTAAACTACTGTGTACATGGGAATGGGATTCAACACCTCTTGCACGTGCACCACAAGCTGTGACTTGTACCATTCATGGGGGCCATCGCTCCAGAGGAAGCGGGGAGTTGGGAGGACACTGCGGGTGACACATGGGCCATTGCTGCATGGCACTTTACGCCCGTCAAGTGCGTGTGAGGAGGTGGAAGCCCATATTTGAATTGCTTGAAATGACTCCATGATCAAGCAGCATTGCACACGCTGGTGCTCTTCCCATCGCCGGGCGTCCCAAACGCACGGTGATCAGGTGAGGTGACTTGGTGACACTGCCTGGGCAGCTGCCTTGCCTGGCCCCACCGCCACAAGGCTGCCAAGCCTCCGAGCTCCTCGTATTGCTGATCTTTGGATTTGTGCACGTCCCACCGGCTCGGGACGCGCAGTGTCGCGATCGCTCGACCTAGAGGATGCCCTGACGGATCGGGCGCTGTATCTGTGGCGCACGCAAGGATGACAGAGGCTGTGGCTGTCCAGCATGTCCTGGCGACAATCAGGGCGGCTCTGGTGGTCACAGCAAGCGAACGGGAGCCGGCGGAGGCGCTCCTGCGCTCGTGGGAGGCTGACGCGCAGCCGGGCTTCTTGCTGAGCCTTCTGCGTATCACCGAAGAGACGGCGGCTGTCGAAGAGGTGGGGCTGCCGGATCCCATCGCGCCAATGATCTTGCACGCGTGTGTTTCGCGAATCGTGGGGTGTCGCCTCGTATACGGTTGCTGCTGCGTCATTCCTGCGGGTGGACGAAGCATCATGTGTTTATGGAGCACGAGTGACCCCCGCGGGCCGCGCGGTGCTCCCGCACGCTGCCTCTGCTGCGTCGCCCGCCCGTGCAGGCGACGCGCCTGCTTGCAGCGGTGATCGCCAAGAACGTTGTGGGCAGTAGCTGGCGCAAGACGCTGGGGACTCGCGAATGGAGCCGCGTGCCCGCGGAGGAGAAGGCGTTGGTGCGGGAGTCGGCGCTGCGCCTGCTGCTCGCCGATCCTTGCGAGAGGTGCGCGGGGCCTGCGCTGGGGTGTGCATGCGGCGTACATCAGGAACTCGCATGATGTCGGTGGCGCACCTGCATGCCTGAGATCGAACGTGCCGTGGCCCCGTCATGGCCTCCAGCTGCATGGCCTGCGCGGTGATGTTGCCGGCTCGTCGTGGACTAGGCAATTCAGCCATGCAGCGTGCTGGAAGCGGTGAAATTCTCCCCGCTGCGTTGCTGATGCAGGGTGAGCGTCCAGATGGCGCTGCTGCTGCGCAACATCTGCCAGTTCGACTTCCCGGGACTCTGGCAGAACCCCATTGACGCACTGCTCACAGCCGCCGGCTGCGTCGACCCCACGAGCGGCAACCAGCTGCCGCCGGAGCGCGGGTTGCGGGCTCTCAAGGCGCTCAAGCAGGTGCTGCGCGGCCTGCAGACCAAGCGCTTCGTTGCGGACGCCACAGCGCCTGGAACACGTGAGTGATGGCTCTCCTGAGGGGACAATGTCTTGTAGATGCACTGCCCCGCGTGTCGAACCAGCTTGCATGGCCAGACACACGCGGGCAGCATGTGCATGGCTTGTTGCATGGCCCATGCCTTGCACTATGTTCCCCCCTGTCCATGGGCGGTGATGGTAGGCGGCTGCTTCCATGCCCCATGCCACCTGCTCGCACCCTACCATCCACTGCTCCGCCCTGCTTCTTGACTTGCAGCGTTCACGGTTGTGACAGAGCGCCTCAACGCCGAGCGCAAGCTGTTCAAGGAGCGGCTGCTGGTGGCGGTGGCGCCGCTGCACGCGCTGCTGGCGCGCCACATGCAGGCCTTCATGACGTGTGCGGAGGGCTGGCAGCTGCATGGGCAGTTTGCTCGCGCCGCAGCGGCCAGCTGCACGGAGCTGACACTGCTGCTGCCCAGCCGCGAGTCCCTGCCGGGCGGCGATGCGGCGGCTACAAGCCTGCTGGAGGGCGTTCACACGGCCTGCGGCGCCCTTATGCGCGGCCAGCCATTAGGAGGAGGTGCGTCGATGCGGGGTGCCGAGGTGCGGGATGTGGGCAGGGTCGTGCTGGTGTTGGACGCGCGCAAACATGTGCTGACCGGGGCATTGGCAATGGCTACCCTGATTTGATGCAAACCCCCTCCTCCAAAAACATTCTGCCGCGCAGACCCTGGCGGCCCAGGCGCGCTGACGGCTTGGGCCGAGCTGGGTGGCAAGCTGCACGAACGGCTGGCTGCCATGGTGACGGCCCACATGGCGGCGTGCCCCCTGCCGTTTGGGCCCCTTCTGCCCCACTTTCTGGGGCTCTTTGTGGGCAGCGCGCTCGTGGCGGCCGGGGCTGAAGCGCTGCGGGCCATGCGGCCAAAAAGGTGGGATGCACTTGCTTGCGGGCCGTTTGCAATGCTGCTGAGGGATTCCAACCGTGTACAAGGTCGACGACAACGCCGCTCATGCGTGTTGCCCTACCGACAGCAGTCCACACGCAGCGGTCATAATGCTGTGCCCTGTCTTCATGCCCAGTTCCCCTGCACTCCCTTCCCACTTTTCAAGGCGCGTCCTTCTCGTGCGCTTTATCGCCAAGGCGCTGCTGTGCCCCTACTACCGTGCCGAGTGGCTGGAAGTCAACGTCAGTCTTCTCACCAAAGGTGTTTGGGGTGGAGTGGTGGGTTGAGCGGAGGATCAGAGCACGCACACCAGCTGGTTGTGCCACGATTCCTCTTGGCTTTCTGCGAGCTGATCCCTCACGGACCCTCCTCTTTGCCCAACCCACAGCTGCCCAGGGCGGCCAGGTGCCACTCAATGCAGCCACATCCGGCGAGGTGGACAAAGCACGCACCGCGCATGATGCGCTGAGTGCCATGCTGGCGCCTCCACAGGTGCGGCAAGGGCGTTAATCCGGAATCGGTGAACGGTTTTGGACTGGAAGCACATTGCGATGGCGCTGCAGGCTGTAATCTTGGCACGATACTCACTCAAGCCCCTACTCGGATCACCTTCCCCAATAAGGTGGCCCCTCTTGTGGAAGCACTGGTGGCCAAGTACGTGGCGCTGTCACCGGATGAGCTTGAGGAGTGGCAGAGCGACCCTGAGGGGTACATCAGGCGAGGGCAGGGGCCAGCCATGGGATTATTGCAGGGGGGGGATGCTGTTGACAGAGCATCTTATTGTTTTGTTATGCACTTGGATGCAATCGGGTGAGCTTATCAGCGCACACCCCGTCCCCTGGCCCTCCCGCACAGATCGCTGGAGCTGGAGGCGGCACCTGATGCAGACACGCCCCGCCCCGTGGGCGTGGGCCTGCTGCTCTGCATGCTGGAGCGCGGTGGCGAGGGACCTGGTCGCGCCCTCATAGACCTCGCCGCGCGCCTCCAGGTGTGCTTCTGGTCTTGGTTGTCGAGCCTGTCTGCACTGCGCTGCCTGCCTAGGGTGCACTGGGTCTTCTGTAGCTCCCATCACACCCTCCCCCCCTTCCCTCTCTCACACCACCAGAGCCAAGGTGACGGTGCCCCGCCGGATGTGCTGCTCATGCGTGAGGCCTGCTACAGGTGCGAAGCTGTCTTACGCGCAGCAGCGGCACAAGCGTGACAGTCATCCCTGCATCGGTCTGGCGTCCTGCTTGGACGTGCTCTCCTCCTGCCCCTGGCCCCTACTCCTCTGTTCCTCCTGTTCCCTGATTTTCCCACACATCTTCCACTTCCGCCACCAAACCAGGGCCATCGGTGAGGGCTTCCCCCACGTGTCCGCCTTCATCAGCTTCGCCAGCTGGTACAGCGCCGAGATCGCGCCACAGCTGCGCGACAGGCTGGCTGCGTTCAAGGCTCAAGGCGGTGCCAGCACCATCATGGCCGTGTTGCAGGTATGGTGCTCGTCGGCGGTGGAGACGCGCCTGGCTTTGCGCCTGTGAGCGACATCGCTGGGGCACTAATACAAGGCCACTGGTCACTTACTTGACATTGTAACTCACACACGCAGGCACGCGCCCTGTGGCTAGTAGGGGCATGCTGCGGCGAGTTGCCGCAGCAGCAGTGGGTGGAGGCTTACGGCCTTTGCGTGGCCCACATGGCCGCCACAGACCTTGTGGTGGGTGGCTAGCGTGCATGGGACACGGATGGTATTTCCATGGGGCTGCAACAGGGGTCTGGATCACCCGACTTCGCAATCATTGGCGCTGCTTAGTGGTAATCCTGAATGTTTGCTTCTAGATAACTCTGATTTTGCTCATTGTGCTGCATGCCCTTGGACCCCCAGGTGGCGCTGCAGGCGGTGCAGGCTGTGATGATGATGACCGCGGCGCTGCTGGACGACCAGGCCGTCCTCGACCAGGCCAATGCTGCGCAGCTGCAGGTGCAGCAGTGTTAGCGCACCGGGATGACTGGCTCATGTCAGGCCATTCCACAACACCTTTGTACCATTCAATGCATCAACAGCGCCCCCTTGTCGTTGTACGGACCTGCAGCCTCAGCTCACCACACCGCCACCCTTCTGCAGGCTTCCAAGCAGGCGGCGCGCGGTGGTGCTGGTGCCGTCGACGCCGCACTCAGCGCAGCAGAGGCGCTGGACCAGGGTGCGGCAGCGCCGAAGCATCATCATCAGCCACAGCCCTGCTGCTTGTACCCGCCGTTTATGAACCGACTCCAGCGGCAATGACGGGATTGCTGATTGGTTGCTGACACCGGTAGCACATGGCTCCCCACATCCTCTACTGTGAATATCCTCTTCGTCTCACTCTCCCGCCATGCGTGCAGAGGCTGTTGTGGCTGCACGCGAGCGGCTGCAATGGCGCGGCGAGGCGCTGCAGGCGCTGCTGTCACAGCTGCTGTCCAGTTGCTTTGGGCTGCTAGGCCGCTTGTCTGAGGTGAGTGCCGGTTTTTGTTGCAAATTCGTTAACACAATTAATGTCCAGCATGCTTTCAGTGCTATCAAGCGACGTATATATTTTTTGCTGACTGGTTGACATCGTATTGATTACCCCTTTCAACATCACCGCTTCCGCATCCCAGGCTGAGTCACGGGTGCGGCTGCTGCAGCTAGTGAGCGTTGTGGCCGAGGCTGCTGGCGAGGCGCTGCGGCCGCACCTTGGCGCGCTGGCGGCTGCACTGCCGCAAGTGTGGGAGGCGGCCACGGCGACCGCGCGGCGGCCCGATGCCGACACGGGCAGCGTGGCCCGCCTGCACAGCGCGCTGATGGCGGTGCTGACGCACCTGGTGGGCAAGCTGCGCGGCGCTGCGCTGGAGGACGCGGGGGTGCAGGGCGTGCTGTACCCTCTGCTGCAGTACGCCACCGACCCCGGGTCATCGGAGGCCGACGTGCTGCTGGAGGAGGCGCTGAAGCTGTGGGCCGTGGTGCAGGGCGCGCAGCCCACCGTCAGCCAGCAGCTGGTCAACCTGCTGCCGCGCATGGCGGCGTTGCTACATCGCGGCCGCGACAACACGGCGGCATTCCAGCTCATCGAGGGGTACCTGCTGCTGGGGGGCGGCGCAGCGCTGCAACCATACGGCGAGGGAATCGCTGCGGCACTGGCCGCTGCCCTGCGCAGCGTGTCGCGCACCGTGGCCGAGGCCTGCGCGCCGCAGCAGGCGCCGCCGCAGCAGCAGCAGCCGAATGCGCAGGAGCCGCATATACCGCAGCAGCAGCAGCAGCAGCAGCAGCAGCATCGCGGGCAGGGCAGCCAGCGAGGCCCTCTGGCCAGCGAAGTCACGCAGGAAGGCCTCGCGGCAGCAGCCCTTGTGGACGTATTCCTACAGGTCCGAGGCCCACCCGTTAAGGCCCTGGAACATGCACAGGCTCACATGTGCTGGGGGCGATGGCGCTTGCAGCGCGGGCAATCAGTGCATTTGAATCCGCTGCCTTACGATCTTGATTTCTCCTCCTCCGTTGCCCTCACCTTGACGCGCAGCTGTACCCGTCTGACGTGTCGACGCTGCTGGCGGGCTCCTTCACGTCGATGGCGCAGCTCATCGCCGACTCGCGCGTCCCCACCGCCGGGGTGCAGATGAAAGCGCACAATGTGATGGAGGGCTTCCTGGAGGTGCTCGGCAGGTGATGACCGCTTGCAGGGGATGGTGCATGCAGGGGGAGGACCGTAGTGCTGACAGGGCGCACCGCTTGGACAGCTTCCCTGACGTGCGTCTGCAGCCCCTGTTACCATGTCATGCCTCGAACCCTTGAGTGATGCCACCACCACGCCCAACATCGCATCTGTCCCGCTCTGGCCCTCTTGATTCGCAGGCTGTTCATCGCGGCTCCCAACACCTTCCCAGCCTTGCTGCAGGCTGTCACGGCGGCTGAGCAGC